AACAGAGAGAGATCACAAGTAGACGGAGAGGCAGGCAGAGAGAGAGAGAGGGAAGCAGGCTTCTTGCTGAGCAGAGAGCCCGATGTGGGACTCGATCCCAGGACCCTGAGATCATGACCTGAGCCGAAGGCAGCGGCTTAACCCACTGAGCCACCCAGGCGCCCCTCCTTTTACTTTTTAATGACCATTGTAGTCCTGCAGCTTTTGAATTCTTTTCTTAGTATGTAAGTAATCATGAATCTAATAAAATTGGAAACTTAAAAAACATACCCTTATTTATCCGTTCATCAATGGTATTGAACATAGGCCCTTACCCTGCCTCTTCATGAGTCCTCAAGAGAATTCTCAAAGTTGGTACTCAGGAGCTAGGGATGCCATTCTTTCGTGGTTTTTTTGTTGTCGTTTTTGTTTGTTTATTTTGCAGTATCTGTGTTTTGCTTTGTTTTTTAATTTTATTTTTTCAGTGTTCCAGGATTCATTGTTTATGGATGCCATTCTTTCAGGGCAGTGGTGTAGTCAGTTTTGTTTAAGCTTTAGGCTGGACTATGCTATCTACTAGTTTTTTATTAAGAATATGACATAAGACAGAATTAAGACTTAGGTCATGGTATGCTATTTAACACTGCATGCCAGGCATAAGTTGACTATTCTAGTTGATTTATTCTCCTTTACTGTCACCTTGTAATGGAACACATTTAAATAAATCATTTATTTGCCCTAAAAATTTAGAAATTTTCATCTCTAAAATTCAGAAATTTTTCATAAGTTATCTTGGGTCTTAAGTGTACTTTTAACTAATTGGCCCATAATGTCAAGACCATGTACCCTTTTTTTGCAGGCATGGTGATTTGCTGATTTGAACACAAGTTTTTTTCTTGAGATTTTTCCACTCCTTAGTTGTAGTTCCATCTATTTTGTTGAGAGTATTTTTTTTCCTTAACCTTTTTCTGCAAGACAAAAATCACATTTAAAGTTTTTGACTTAACCACTGTCATCTGTAGGAGAAATAGTCTGTATCTCTCTTTGGACACTCCACTGCCTTTTTTGATTTGGCTTTATCTTGCTTCAGTTTTTTTCTCTGTAACTAACCTTAATACAAAGTTGGGGTTCTAAACAGATTTTTTTTTTTGTCGTAAGTATAACAGTACAAAAATATATACATATCCATCTAATTACTTAATGAAGTTCACTCTTAATTTTGTTTACACCAATGAATGTTAAGGAGTTTGGGTAATTACCAGTTAAACTTGAATATAAAATTCCTCCTTCTGATTTTTAAGTGGTTGGACATAATTTGAAACTGTAGATTGGTGAAGATTTAAGAAATGTCCACAATTTTCCTTCAGTAATCAAAAATCATGCTTATTTTCAAATACTTGAGACTTACCAGTTTTTCTTCACATTGAATTGTTTGACTACAGGTATTTGGAATGGAACTCGTTGGCTGCTTATTTTCTAGAAACTGGAATGTAAGAGAGATGGCTCTCAGGCGTCTTTCCCACGATGTTAGTGGGGCTCTGCTATTGGCAAATGGGGAGAGCACTGGAAATTCTGGGAGCAACGGTAGAAGCAGCCCAAGTGCTGGAGCCAGCGGGTCTTCCCAGACCAGTATCTCAGGAGATGTGGTAGAGGCATGCTGCAACGTTTTGTCAATGGTCTGTGCTGACCCTGTCTACAAAGTGTACGTTGCTGCTTTAGTAAGTAGCTTTATTACATAACCAAAGCATTATGGGTGGGTTTTTGTTTTGTTTAGAACTTGTAGATACCACTCTTAAGATCCAGTGAAACTGGGGCACCTGGGTGGCTCAGTGGTTTAAAGCCTCTGCCTTCGGCTCAGGTCATGATCCCAGGGTCCTGGGATCGAGCCCCACATCAGGCTCTCTGCTCCGCGGGGAGCCTGCTTTCTCCTCTCTCTCTCTGCCTGCCTCTCTACCTACTTGTGATCTCTATCTGTCAAGTAAATAAATAAAATCTTTAAAAAAAAAAAAAAAAAAGATCCAGTGAAACTACTTTATCTGATTTAATTTTGGAAAATCCAAATTTTTATTCCATAATCCCAAGAAATTACAGTTTTCTATTTAATCTCTTCATTTGGATTTTACTTGGTGGGTTTTTTTTTTTTGTCTTTTTAAACTTCTTATTTATTTATTTGACAGACAGATCACAAGTAGACAGAGAGGCAGGCAGAGAGAGGAGGAAGCAGGCTCCCTGCCGAGCAGAGAGCCCGATGCGGGGCTCGATCCCAGGACCCCAAGACCATGACCCGAGCCAAAGACAGGCTTTAACCCACTGAGCCACCCAGGCGCCCCTGGATTTTACTTGTTTTAACCTATTCAGGTTTTCTTATATGCTGGTTACTTTTATCCCCTAAAATAGCCATGTCTTGCTGTTCCTATCTTTAAATCTTCCTAATACCTTACACATGATCAAATTTAAAATGCTTTATGGGAGGGGAGGCCTGGGTGGCTCAGTTAACTGAGCCTCTGCCTTTGGCTCAGGTCATGATCTGAGGGTCCTGGGATCAAGTCCCACATCGGGCTCCCTATTCAGCTGGGAGTCTGCTTCTCCTTCTGCCCCCTTCCCCCTGCTCATACACTCTTTCTTTCTCAAATAAATAAAATCTTAAAAAAAAAAATGCTTGGGGCGCCTGGGTGGCTTAGTGGGTTAAGCCTCTGCCTTCAGCTCAGGTCATGATCCCGGGGTCCTGGGATCGATACCCGCATCGGGCTCTCTGCTCGGCAGGGAGCCTGCTTCCTTCTCTCTCTCTGCCTGCCTCTCTGCCTACTTGTGATCTCTGTCTGCCAAATAAATAAATAAATAAATAAATAAATAAATAAAATCTTAAAAAAAATGCTTTATGGGATAGCAAGTGATCATAGTTCCTTTGATTTTTTTTTTTTTTAAATTTGACATTAGACATTAAGGAGAACTGATTAATAAACATTGTTGTATGGAAATTCAGGATCCTTTTCACAGAGGAGGGTTCCATGACATAGATAACTGAGTTGTTTTTCTAGTTGAAGCTGTTAAAAGTTGTCTTTTATGAGTGGGATGGAATGAGGAGGTTGTTTAATTTGTAATTTTGGAGGCTAACTTGACTTTCTCCATTTTGAGTATATATATCTTTAGAACAGGATTTCTCAACCTCAGCACTCTTGACATTGAGCCAGATAATTATTTGTTGGGGGCAAGGGTGCTGTCTAGTGCACTGTATGATGTTTAGCACCATCCCTGGCTTCTACCCACTACATATCAATAGCAAACCTCTCTTCTCCCTCCCATCTCCTTCATGACAGCCAAGAATGTCTCCAGGCATTGCTGAGTGTCCCTGAGGGTCAAAATTGCCCCATTTCATGACGACTGCTTTAGAATAATTCTTACCTAGATCTTTCTTCTTTTAACTAGGCTCCAAGCTCAGGTTTTTTAAAACTCATTAATCTCTCTGCTTCCACTCTGAGTCTTCTTGTAATCCATCCTGTAAGAACTATGCCCAGTGAATCTTCTTTTTGAGAGGTAGTAATATAGCCTGATGGTTATGAACATGAATTTGGAGTTAGAAGTGAGTGATTTCATAACTTACCATCCTAACTGGGGTACTTGAATAATCTGCTAGTTAAACTGGGACTAGCCTAGGCAGTCTGAACATAAGATCAAGATTATAGAGACCTTAATTGAAATTCTGGTTCTTCCGTTTGCTGGCAATGTGACTTTAGGATTCATTAAATTTCAACTTTCTCACATAAAATAATGAAAATATTACCTGTTAGGTTTGAAATGAGATTGTGTAAAACCTCTAGCCATAAAGTGTGGCACATTGTAAGAACACTGACTATATAGTAGCCATCACTATTCCTTAAAGACCACTTTGGTTATTCCCTGGGTTAGAAACCCTGAAAGGGGGGCGCCTGGGTGGCTCAGTGGGTTAAAGCCTCTGCCTTCAACTCAGGTCATGATCCCAGGGTCCTGGGATCGAGCCCCACATTGGGCTCTCTGGGCAGCGGGGAGCCTGCTTCCCCTTCTCTCTCTCTCTGCCTGCCTCTCTGCCTACTTGTGATCTCTGTCAAATAAATAAATAAAATCTTAAAAAAAAAAAAAAAGAAAGAAAGAAACCCTTAGAGGATTAGCAGCATTTCCAAAAGCGTATTCCATGGCAATTTAGCAGGATTATGAAAACTTCCCCTGAAGGAAGAGTTCTCTGTTCAGTTAAAATTGATGAGCAGTGAATTACACAAGTTAGGCGGGTCTTTACACTGCAAGGCTTCTAGGAACCTTCAGTAAAATAATGTACATTAGGAATTTATAAGAGCAAGAAGTAGAATGCATTATTTCCCAAACTATCTTACCATGGTCTGGTTTTTTCATGTAGAATATCCAGGGACCAGCAACTATAAAGACCAATGTTCTTGGCCCAACTTTTTACCTCTTTTTCTTACTGTTTTCCAACACAAACCTTCAGGCATACTTGACTGTTCAAAGTACTGCCTTACTGTCTGGTTGTTTCTTCCTAAGTTCAGATGGTTTCCCATCTAGTTTGTGAACTGTGGAGGGAAAGGACTCTGAGAATCAGACTATACTCCTGATTCCTCTATAATTACTTAGTGTGCCATGCACAGTGGAAGCAGAAATGGCTCCATCCTTTAAAGCTCTCCATTCTCCTTCTCCCTTCCCTTTGTCCTTCCTGTTTTCCCCTCCCTTCCCTTGCCATATACAATTCTTAGCTGAACCATTTGAGAGTTATTTGTGGGCATCACGACATGACATTTTAGCTCGGATATTTTAGCTGGTAGCTTTTAAGAAAAAATACATTCTTCTGTATAACCACAATGCAATCAGCAGACTCGGGATATTTAGCATTAATAACAATATTATTATGTACTTATGAAGTCCATATTCAGATATCCCGTTGTTGCAACAGTCTCCTTTATAGCCAAGCCACAGACTTTACTCAGTTTTTACCAGTTTTTCCATTACTGTCTTTTTTGTTCCAGGATCTAGTCCAGAAACTCACATTGCATTTAGTTAACTGTACTCCCTTAATCTCTTCCCATCTGTGACATTTCCGTAGTCTTTCCTTGTCTTGGATACATCTTGACATTTTTGAAGTGTGCTGGCCACTTATTTTGAAGAATGTCCCTCGTTTTGGGTTTATCTGGTATTTTCTCATGATTTGATAGAGTTTATGCATTTTCATAAGAATATGAGAGGTTGGGGTGCCTGGTTGGCTCTGTTGGTTAAGCATCTGCCTTTGGCTCAGGTCAAGATCCCAGGGTGCTGGGATGGAGCCCCACATCGGGCTTTCTGCTCAGCGGGGAACCTGCCTCTCTCCTTCTCCCTCTGCCTGCCGCTCACCCTGCTTGTGTTCTCTGTCAAATAAATAAAATCTTCAAAAAAAAAAAGGAATATGAGAGGTGATGTGCCATTCTTAGTGCACTGTATCAAAGGATATATAATGTTGATCTGTCTTATTATTGGTAATGCTGTCTTTCATCATTTGGTTAAGGAGATGTTTATTGGGTTTCTTGCTATAAAATTACTATTAATAAATGTCTTAGGGGAGATACTTTGAGGCTGCAAATATCCTCTATTTCTCTTAAGAATTTTGCCCACTGGTTTTAGCATTTGTCAGTGGATCTTGCCTATAGCAGTTATTATTATGGTGTTCTAACGGTGATTTTCTATTTCCCTTATTCCTTCTATATTAATTAATTAGAATTCTTCTATCAAGAGGAACAAACTGTCTCTTCTCCCCCCATTTATGTATTTATTCAGTTTTTAAATTTATACCAATATAAACTGATGGGTATTTATTTTATCTGTGGATTATAATCCAGTACTATCATCATTTAATTTGTTGCTTATATTATTTGAGCTTTGGCCATGAGAAGCTCTTTTTAAACTTACTTTAAAATTCATTCTTCAAAAATTGCAGAAATAGTTCAAGAGTTTCCTTATACCCCACTGTTTATTCATATATGTATATATATATGTGTGTGTGTGTGTGTGTGTATGTATATATATATCATGGATTATTTATATATAAATATATCATGGATTATTTATGGATTACAATCCTTTCCTATCATAATTTATTTTATTAAATGGTCTCAGATTATGCGAGGGTCTCTGATGCTTTTCAAATGCAGTTAAACTGACCTTCGGTTTTTTCTTCCCAGAAAACGTTGAGAGCCATGCTAGTATATACTCCTTGCCATAGTTTGGCAGAAAGAATCAAACTGCAGAGACTTCTCCGGCCAGTTGTAGACACCATCCTAGTCAAGTGTGCAGATGCCAATAGGTAAGGCCCTATTGATGAACTGCTTCAAACCCTCTTATATTAAAAGCCTAGCAACAAGCCTCACACCTGGTGAGTATTTGATACATGTTTATTAAATGAGGCTTTGAATATTGTTTTCTAATATGAGATTTGAAGTTAAAATTTAACACTTAAAGCTGTTGAACACTAGGGAGAAGGACTAGTGACAAGTAAAAACCAGGCTAACAAACTGCATGGATAACCATTTTACTGTGTTGTGATTGATTTTATCTTAAAGTAATATTCTTAATCTCAAGTCCAGTTGAAAGAACAGTAGGTGTTATATACATAATCTTACTTTAGAGAGTGAGTTACACAGGATAGGAACCAATAAAATCATTGCATCTGCTTAAAAAACCAAACAGTTCCATATTTGCTGTGTTTTGGAATTTTACTCTATGACAGTTTATGCTAAAAAAAAAAAAAAGAACCACACAGCAACAAATTCCATTTGGTTCTGCAATATCCTTAAAAACTGGTGAGCAACAAGAGTAATGCTAATTGGAGAGGTAAGGATAGTTAGGTAGAGAAATGAGTCATGATCATGGTAAAAACTAAGCTCTAACTGTGCTTTTATGAGACCAGTGGTTCGCCCTCTGCTCCATTAATGAGCATAGCTAGCGCTGAAGGTCGTTGGGCATTCTCACCTCTTTACAGTCCTGCCCATCTTGTGGGAGGAAGCACTGGATCTCCCATGTGCCTCTGCCATGACCCATTTGAAGCTCGCTCAGCCCAACTTTTGTGTTCTTTCCTAAGTCACATGATGTAGTTTTAGGTTTATAGCTGGTCTCAAAAACTAGGTGCTTAGATTTGACTTCTCATTTCATGAAGTCTGTGCTTTGCCTCCATTGTTTTCTCCACACAAGCCTATGAACTGAAAGTATTAGAGATTGTCTTGTTGCTTAGAGAGAATACTATAATACATGAACAACATTAGGCAGATTAATAAATAATTTGCAAAATGCATAGAAAAATTACTGTTTTTCAGAATCAGAGTATGTATTTTTCTGAGAACTTCATTGCTTTTGTGGCATTTGTTGTGTTGTGTGCTTTCCCAAATACTAAAATTAGGTTGTTTACTTGGTCTCTTCAGTGACAGAACATTATAAAAAAAAATACAGTAAAAAGATTTTAAGGTATTTGGAACTCACTCAGGCTATGTAAGAGAAATAAAGTTTTGGATGGGAAGGTTTTGTTTTTAATGCAAAAGATTCTTACTGAAAATTCAGAAATCAAAACAAGTATTTTTTATTTTAATGAAATAACCAAAATACGCTTTTTATCTGGTTTGCTATTTAAATCAGTACTTGGTCTTCAAGAGCCACTAGTAAAAGTTCTGTGCTTAACACAAATGAGGTAATGAAATTAAACTTAAGTAATGAATATTATTATTTGTAGGAATATTATTGTGATTTTAGTGGTGGAAAAGCAAACACACGTGGAAGCTTTTTTCCCCACCTTTTCACATAGCATTACATTACTTTTGTCCTTTTAATGTGCATTTTATCTAAGATCCAAGTCTGATGTTGCCTCTTTCATTTGTAGTCGTACAAGTCAGCTGTCTATATCAACACTGTTGGAATTATGCAAAGGCCAAGCAGGAGAGTTGGCAGTTGGCAGAGAAATACTTAAAGCTGGTAATAACTTTTTACTTAATAATAATATAGCAGATCTTACCATTTTCCTTCGCCGACTGTCTAATCATGTAATCTCTGATAGGGCAGTTGTATACAGGATTTTGGAGTGTGTAAATTGATTGAGTCAGCTAACATTAGAAATATGAATTAATCTAAGAAATTCTTTCTTTTTTAAATGATTTATTTATCCGAGAGAGCACAGAGGGAGGGGCAGAGGGAGAGTGAGCAGACTCCTTGCTGAGTGCAGAGCCAGACTTGGGGCTCAATCCTAGGACCCTGAGATGATAACCTGAATCAAACTCAAGAGTCAGCCATTTAAGCAACTGAGTTACCCAGGGAACCCCTAAGAAATTCTTAAAATGAATATAATTAGAGTATTGTTCTTGACATTGTGCTATTTTGACCATGTTTTGTTTTAGATTTTAATATCCCTGCTTTTCAATTATTTTTGCTTTCCTTTTCACAGGATCCATTGGTATTGGTGGTGTTGATTATGTCTTAAGTTGTATTCTTGGAAACCAAACTGAATCAAACAACTGGCAAGAACTTCTGGGCCGCCTTTGTCTTATAGACAGACTGCTCTTGGAATTTCCTGCTGAATTTTACCCTCATATTGTCAGTACTGATGTTTCACAAGCTGAGCCTGTTGATGTCAGGTAATTTTTCTTCTGCAAATATATTACTTTGTTCTTCTTTCTACTCATCCCCACCCCCCTAAGGATACATTTTAGATTCATTAAAGACTCAGAAGCTACAGAACGTATATATAGGTTACTAATACCTTAATCTTTGATTGATTAAAAAATCCTCAAGTCTAGGCTATTTAATTAAATTTTAATAGATTCTTTGTTCTGAAATTACTTTTTTTCAGTGTATAAGCTTTAAATTAGTACCTTTCTTATTTGCATATAGTTTGCAGTAATTTTGACTTGTCTAGTAATTGAATTTTTTTTTTCTTTCAGGTATAAAAAGCTGCTGTCCCTCTTAACCTTTGCTTTGCAGTCCATTGATAATTCCCACTCAATGGTTGGTAAACTCTCCCGAAGGATATATCTGAGTTCCGCAAGAATGGTTACTACAGTCCCCCACATATTTTCAAAACTATTAGAAATGCTGAATGTTTCCAGTTCCACTCATTTTACCAGGATGCGTCGTCGTTTGATGGCTATTGCAGATGAGGTGGAAATTGCTGAGGCCATCCAGCTAGGCGTAGGAGACACTTTGGAGGGTCGACATGACAGCTTTTTACAGGCGGCTGTCCCAACCAGTTACCCAGAAACCACAGAGAACAGCTCCCTTGAGCGCACAGACCATTTAGAGAAAACTGGAAAAGGACTATGTGCTACAAAACTGAGTGCCACTTCAGAGGACATTACTCACAGACTGGGCAGCATTTCAGTAGGACTTCTCAGTTCTACAACAATGGAGCAACCAAAGCCAATGGTTCAAACAAAAGGCAGACCCCACAGTCAGTGTTTGAACACCTCTCCTTTATCTCATCATTCCCCATTAATGTTTCCACCCTTGTCAACTCCTCCTTCATCTGCCCCCTCTGCACCAACTGGCACTGGAACGGATATCTCTAAGCATAGACCTCAGGGGTTCATTCCCTGCAAAATACCTTCCGCATCTCCTCAAACACAGCGCAAATTTTCTCTACAGTTCCAGAGAAACTGTTCGGAAAACAGAGACTCAGATAAATCTTCCCCCATCTTTACTCAGTCCAGACCCCTGCCCTCTAGTAACATACACAGGCCAAAGCCATCTCGACCTTCCCCAGGTAATACAAGTAAACAGGGAGAGGCCTCAAAGAATAGCATGACACTTGATTTGAACAGTACTGCCAAATGTGATGACAGCTTTGGCAGCAGCAATAGCAATAATGCTGTCATACCCAGTGATGAGACAGTGTTCACCCCAGTAGAAGAGAAATGCAGATTAGATGTCAATACAGAGCTCAACTCCAGTATTGAGGACCTTCTTGAAGCATCTATGCCTTCAAGTGATACAACAGTAACTTTTAAGTCAGAAGTTGCTGTGCTCTCCCCTGAAAAGGATGAAAATGATGATACCTACAAAGATGACGTGAATCATAATCAGAAATGCAAAGAAAAGATGGAAGCTGAAGAAGAAGAAGCTTTAGCAATTGCCATGGCAATGTCAGCGTCTCAGGATGCCCTCCCCATAGTTCCTCAACTACAAGTTGAAAATGGAGAAGATATCATCATTATTCAACAGGATGTAAGTATAGTCTTGAAGTGATTAGGGAGTTTCCTTGCACCAAGCTAAAAGAAACCTAACTCAGAAATGATGCTTTTCACATGAGTTAATTGTGAGAAGCAGTTTTTCACATAAAGTTATACAACAGTTTTTTTGTTGTTGCTTGACCACAAACACTACTTGCCTATTTCAAAGGCATTTCTGTAATGGTGATCCCTTCTGCATTTGACATCAGTCCCCAACACTGTCCCTACAGAGGTCAACTTTATAGGTGGTCTGAGAAGCCAGACCAAGCAAGAATAGTATTTTGCCGGGCTAATTTCACAAACTCTTGCTCTTTTAACCTAACAGTAAAAAGATTGCTTTCATTTAATATGTAGACACCAGAAACTCTCCCAGGACATACCAAAGCAAAACAGCCTTACAGAGAAGACACTGAATGGCTGAAAGGTCAGCAGATAGGCCTTGGAGCATTTTCTTCCTGTTACCAGGCTCAAGATGTGGGAACTGGAACATTAATGGCTGTTAAACAGGTAAATACCTAGTGAGCACATAAATGACTTAAATTATAAAAATGAAGCATGAGCAAATAAGAAAAATAAAGGATATGTTCCTGTGTGTATATGCTTTAGTTCTTTTTCAGAAACCTAAATTTCAAAGTAAATACTGCCAAAGCACCAAAAGCATCATGAATTCTAATGGAAAGCTGAAGCATGATTTATTTTAATGAGCTGCAGAAATGTCCCGATAGTCTTCTTTCTTTCTTTTTAAAATTTCATATATTTATTTGGGAGCGGGGGAGGCATGAGTTGGGGGAGGGACAGAGGCAGAGGGAGAAGGAGAAGCAGCCTCCTCCCCTGATGAGCAAGGAGCCCGACAGGGGACCGATCCCAGGACCCTGAAATCATGACCCAAGCCGAAGGCAAATGCTCAACCAACTGAGCCACCCAGGTGCTCCTGAAAGTATAGTCTTAAAGCATGATTATTTAAAATGCAGCACCACAATGGGCCTCATAGAGGTTGTTTTTGGTTGTGCCTTTTTTTTTTTTTAAAGATTATTTATTTGACAGAGAGACAAGATCACAATTAGGCAGAGAAGCAGGCAGAGGGGGAGGGGGAAGCAGGCTCCCTGCTGAGCAGAGAGCCCAATGCAGGGCTCAATCCCAGGACCCTGGGATCATGATCTGAGCTGAAGGTGGAGGCTTAACCCACTGAGCCACCCAGGGCCCCTGGTTGTGCTTTTTATAAACAAGAGTTATGATTTCATACTCCTTTTATCCATGTAACCTGTGCAGCAGCATCTTGGGATCTCTAGTTTACTTTTTATGAACATCCTGATCAAAATAAGAAAATTAAAATAAAGCTTTCATTTTTAAATCATGTTGGTTCTTCTATGAATAGGCTTTTCTTATTCCATCTTTGGACAGTTTGGGAGGACTGGCTACATCCCAGTTTTTTCCCTTTTTCTGATATTTCATTGCTTCTTAAGCTAGACTCTATTTTCTTTCTAATTTGATTTTTTTTATGGATATCTACATTGTATCCATAAGCATAAATGCTAACTCCTGTTAATCTATAACTGATTTGAAATTGTCCACTTTAGATCAGATTGTTAATGAAGTTTGTAAATAGAAATTCGTCAGAATTCAAAACTTTATAAACATGGTTATTGAAACAGGTGACATATGTCAGAAATACATCTTCTGAGCAAGAGGAAGTAGTGGAAGCATTAAGAGAAGAGATCAGAATGATGAGCCATTTGAATCATCCCAACATCATTAGAATGTTGGGAGCCACGTGTGAGAAAAGCAATTATAATCTCTTCATCGAATGGATGGCAGGTATGTTCCTGTTTTAAATTGCTAGTAATAGTACATGAATTTAACTTTCTGGCTAATACTAAATTTGAGAAAAACAGCTTAATAAACACTTACTTTTACTAAGTAGTTGCTTTTCTAAAAGCAAATCACAAAAAAATTAAAAAAAAAATAAAAAAAATAAAAGCAAATCACCCCTAATATAATATGAACCGGAAATACTTTGTTTTGTCTTACACTGATTGATTGGTGGGCAGCAAAACAAAGTGTACTGAGTAATAGTACAAAGCTCTCAAAGAGGGAGGGGAACCAAGAGGATTGGGTTGCCCATTTTGTCTTACATTTGAATATAAATAAGATACTCATTGTCTCTACCTTTCAGACTTTTTCAATGTTCCTTTTTAAATGATTGTGTAGCACTGTTTTACAGGAATAATTTTTTTAAGACCTGCTTATGTGTAAGAGCCATATTTTTCCAGATAGCCATCATCAGTTGGACAGATTTGAGATGTTTTAATGTGACAATATAAAAATGAAATTAAGATATAACTTGGAAAAATTATTGTAGGCAAACTAGTACTTAAGCATAAAGTTGAACCTTGTCATCTACTTGAACAAATAAAAACTGAATTTTATGTGGTATCATACCGTACATACAGTAGAACAAGTAACTTGGGATATAATGAATGAACAAATGCTTGGTTTAACGTCTTAGATTTTTTTGCATCTGAAGGAGTGTATTTCTGTTTACATATCTGTTCTTTGGTATGTTCTCTGATGTTGGTCGTAGCTGTGTAGATTGTTGTTTTTAGGTTGACTATTATAAATACTTCTCAGTGTGAGGTTTATTGAGCTTGTGACCTGTCCCAGGTCAGAGCTAGTAAATAGTAGAGTATGAAGCTTCTTGCTGGCTCTTCTGGCTCCTCTCTACCTTCTGCAAAATAACATGTTAGCACTCTTTACTTAAGTCTTACTAAGAAAGGTATTTTGTATATCTTGGTCAAAAAGAGAGGTGAATGATACATTGCAGAAATAGTTCCATCCAAAATTGTTAAGTTTCAAAGCTTTCTGAAATCTTGACCTTCCAAAAAACTAGGTCATGAAAGTTGGATGAAAATGTCTAATTGATAGGTTTTGAGATCCCTGGAATATATTAGTTTTAAAATCCGTTTCACTTCTGGTGCAGAGTATAAATTTAATATTTCAAATTGAACATGAGCTCTGGAACAAGCATATGTAACCAAAGTGTAATAAAACTGTTTTAATTTTGGCTTGAGTTTATGATAATTATTATGTTTGTCTTATAGGGGGATCTGTGGCTCATTTGCTCAGTAAATACGGAGCCTTCAAGGAATCAGTAGTTATTAACTATACTGAACAGTTACTTCGTGGCCTTTCATATCTCCATGAAAACCAGATCATTCATAGAGATGTCAAAGGTAGGTATTCTTTTAATTACTACCTACTACCAATAAATAGAAAGCAAATGTAGTTTTATAACTTGGACCTTTGTTGATAGTTTCTAACTTGAAACTATGGGGTTCAAATTAGAAACTTGGGGTTGTTTCTCCTGAGTAACTCTAATCACTAGAATTAATAGAAGTGAAAGGAACCTGTGGAGTCATGTAATCTGCCTTCCTTGGAGGGACTGATTTTTCCAGTCCTACTGCTAATTGATGGCAAATCAGGTATAAAAATCGGGTCTCTGATTTCCTATCTTGGTCTCATGACCTCCCGCCTCCCCAAAAGTTCCTATTTCTGGCTTTATTTAGAATAATTGGGATGTCATGTACTTTTTTTGAGAAAAATCCTTTCAAATCTTTTGCAGTTCATCTTATTAAGAACAACGTTGGCTTTCTGACATGAATGTCTGTGGCTAGTATTTGACATAACATATTCAAGTAATTTTATAACATTAATTTTTTATGTTAGAATTGTGAAATTCCTGTGTGTATATATATATCCTGTATATATATTCCTATATATATTTTTGGTCTAGTGAGTGTGTTTCAGTAGGACTTTGTCTTAAAATGGAAACTACACTAAAAATTTAACTTCGAGGGAAGATTTTTTTTTTTTTAATTTTTTTTTAAAAGATTTTATTTATTTACTTGTCAGAGAGAGAGAGAGAGAGAGCACAGGCAGACAGAGTGGCAGGCACAGGCAGAGGGAGAAGCTGGCTCCCCACAGAACAAGGAGCCCGATGTGGGACTCGATCCCAGGATGCTGGGATCATGACCTGAGCCGAAGGCAGCGGCTCAACCAACTGAGCCACCCAGGCGTCCCTCAAGGGAAGATTTCTGATGGGAATCATTATATTAAAGGTTTTCAGCACTTAGTAACATTTTATTAAATGTCTGCCTTTATTTCCTTCTGCCTCATTACTTTGATCTTCCCTCTGAGGATTTGGATTTTATTTATTTTGCACTGTTGTTACCTCTGTGCCTTTAGCAAGAATGAAATGAATTCAGAGGGGAGATTTTTCTGAACCCTTCCATGTCCACTTCTTTTGTTACGGTCCTATTTTGTTAGTATCTTATTGAGTTTCTCATCTGTTCTTTTGTTTTGACAGGTGCCAATTTGCTAATTGACAGCACAGGTCAGAGACTGAGAATTGCAGATTTCGGAGCTGCAGCCAGGTTGGCATCAAAAGGAACTGGTGCAGGAGAGTTTCAGGGACAGTTATTGGGGACAATTGCATTTATGGCACCTGAGGTGAGAAGCAGCTTTGAGTGTGATGAAAGAAAATACCTGGAGTTCTAGATGACAGAATTAGAGCAAATTAGTTTGCAGTGTTATTCAGTATATGCTTACAAATTAGAAGCGCATGGCTCTAAAAATAAGGTTTTAATTATATCCTTGATTTCAGAACCCTTAATCCCTGCCTTTCCATCTTTGTCTTGACAAAATTTCAAAAGGCAGGTTTTAATAGTTTGTTTATAAGACTATTTCTAACAAAGAATTTTGGGGTGATTTGTACTACTGTTTTGTAGTACACCCAAAGCACACATAATTAGGAATCTCAACAGTTGGTCTCTCCCTGTTCCAAAGGGAGGTGAGCACAGAGAAGCCTGTCTTAGTAGCAGTGGAAGAAATGTAACTAAGCACTGCTGTTCTGAATCAGGCTTCATCTGTTGTGTTCCGAACTCTTCGTGTTTACATGTAGTGATCACTTACTTGTCCTCTGGCCGCTTGGTTTACTTAAGTGCACTGGGGGTGCTTGGAAATTCTGTGATATGTCTCTTTCTTCCATTATCTCAGAATTCTCCAAAATTCTTTTGTGCCACATAGAAGATTAATAAGTTTATTGATGAAATAAATGAGACATCAGGGTAGTCCATGGAGTTACCATTGTTTTGATCTGAAATAAAAAAAACTAGGATCTATAACTACAGAACATCTTTCTCTTTTTTTAATGAGTCATATTTCCAAATTAACTCTCCATTTTAGGTACTAAGAGGTCAGCAGTATGGTAGGAGCTGTGACGTATGGAGTGTTGGCTGTGCCATTATAGAAATGGCTTGTGCTAAACCACCTTGGAATGCAGAAAAACACTCCAATCATCTTGCTTTGATATTTAAGGTAACTGTGATATAAAAATTACTCCTTTCTGCTAAAATTGGCAGGAGGCAGATTTTCATGGATTCTCCTTAACTCTCAATCTCAGGTGAAAGCATATCCTCTTTGAAATAAATATGCATGTGTACATCTCCAGGAAGTTATATGGTGTGGTGAATATGGGCAGCAAATATAGTCAGTCCTCATTTTTCACAATAGTAAGGCTCTATAAAGTCACTTGGAACAATGAGTTAGCAAATGATAAATCATTGTTCCTAGGTGAAATACATAAATGGATGTATCCAACTTTCAAAGGTAAGAACATAGAGCTTTTTATGTACACAATCTGCCAATTTTTAAAATCAGATTTACTCTTTGGTGTATTTAAAAAAATTACACCTGAATCAGGTACCAAATCCTATCTGTTCTATCTTTCTGACAACGCTCAAATCCATTCTGTCCATTTCCAGCAAAGAAGAGTATCAGTTGAGATTTTTAGCTTTTGATCCAGACATTTACTAGTTAAAAGCTTGGGCTCTGACATATGCTAGTTAAAAGCTTGGGCTCTGACAGGGGATGGGGTAACTGGGTGATGGACATTGCGAAGGGTATGTATACATTGTCATGAACACTGGGTACTATATAAGACTGATGAATCACAGACATGTACCCCTGTAACAAATAATACGTTCTGTGTTAATTGAATTTAAGTTAAAAAAAGCAGCTTGGGCTCTGGAGTGTTACAGACATGGTTTCAGACCACGGTCTAGCCTTTAATAGCCCTGTCACTAGGGGAATGACTAACTCAATCTACCCTGTTTTTTTGGTTGTAAAATGGGTGTAATGACAGCACCTACTTCATAGGATTATCTCTGGGCCTGAGTAAAGCGAAGTCTACTGCATTGGCACCCCAGCACCTCCCAGCTGCCATAACTGCCTCTGGTCCTTCCCATACTTAGAGACCTTCCTCCTTTGGTGCAGCTGTGTGTCTGATGTACAAAATGGGCAGGTGTGGTCTTTCTCACTTTGAATAGCTCTCTGTGCTGCATAATAGAAAATGTAGGAAAGCATATAGTATAAATACTTTACCTACCTGTCTAACCATTTTGATGCTCTCAGCCGTGTTCATTTGAGACAATAAGGGAAATGCATAGATCTATCTGCTCAGGATGTATTTGGTCAAATTCTAAAAATCCTAAAATTTGAAGGTTCTTAGAGGAAGCCTCCCATCCGGCTGGTGAGTTTTCCCATAAACTCTGTCAGAAGAAAGTCCACACACTTCAGCTTCCGTACTGTGTACAAGATCCATGTGTACTACAGAGTTCCGACATGCAAGGTGTTAACACACTGGTGGTTTTTCTTACAGATTGCAAGTGCAACTACTGCTCCATCGATCCCTTCACATTTGTCTCCTGGTTTACGAGATGTGGCTCTTCGGTGTTTAGAACTTCAACCTCAGGACAGACCTCCGTCAAGAGAGCTACTGAAGCATCCAGTCTTCCGTACTACTTGGTAGCCAATTACAGACTCTGATGGAGACAGGATGCTCAACAAGGCAAAACTATTGTGGGGAACCACGCTGATAATCTGCTGGCCTTCATGCCACTGAACAGCTATGAACAGGACCAGTGGGGAACCCTTACCTAAGTATGTGATTGACAAATCATGATCTGTACCTAAGCTTAGTATGCAAAAGCCCACAATTTGTGCAGAAACTGTAAACCGTGCCTTTCAAAGAACTGGCCATAGGTAAACAGGAAAGCAGTGAAGTTTGCATGACTAACAGAAGCGTATTTTGGGTTTTTTTTGGAGCACTTTTTCAGCAATATTAGCAGCTGAGGGGCTCAGGATCTATTTTAATGTTTGAATTATTCTTCCATTTCATATCGTGATCACAAGCAGGGGGTTCTGCAATTCCGTTCAGTTTTTTTTTTGTCACTGGCTCCCAATCAGTATCTGCCTCTTTTAGGTCAGAATATGCTATAAGTAGCAGTAAATATATTTTTAAAAGTTGATAACTTCTTTATGAACCACAGTTGACCTTTATTTTTTAAATGCCTGGGCAGTTGTGGTTCACTGTGCATTTTACTGTTGGCCCATTCATTTCGTTTTTGGAAATCATGGTTCTGTATTTTCATTTCACCTTCACTTTTGTTTAATATTCAGGGAAAGGTGATTTTTTCAAACCAGAAAAAAAAAAAAAATAGAACTAGGTGTGAACTAGAGTTTATTAAGTATCTTGCTATTGCAAGAGGGTTTTTTTTAATACGGATTTAATTTTATTTGTTTTTAAAATTGGAATATAATAAAATACTACCTTCACTGAGTCAGTCACTGCTTTTTTCATGCAGGTTAAATATAAATTAAGTGAAAATCAACTATTCTCTGTGATGCAGCTCAAAACCAAGATCAAGATGACCTTGAAATTTGATTTTTTTAATGTATTGGTTTCTTTTATAGGAAACATCACACCTTTGAAGTCTTACTTTGTATGTAACAATCCATCATTCATCATCCATCACCACTAATAATATTAAACTGCTATTTTCCTTCTACCATGCATTATCTCTTTACAGTAGGCCTGGCTGATAATTAAAGAAATTAACTAATAACTACCAATGAGTAATAGTGTTTTTACAAAATAAATTTTCTTGGAACTCTGAAAACATGTTCAGAAAGAAAAGTGAAACTGAATTTGACTTACACCCTAATTCTTGGATTTTGCTCAATTATCTAATGGTTTTCATCAGAGTTGAATTCAGATGCATGGAATCCTGAAGGAAAATGGCAGCTCTTTTATCCTTTTTTTGCGACTCTTTAAATATTTAATACAACTTTTTGAGATGAGAAGTTTTAACTCTTCAGAAGCCAGTTGAATTATTGCAGAGTGAAACAGAATTGGTTATTCTCAAAGACTCAGGATAAACTAAATAAGCTATACAGAGTACATTTTAAATGTACATCACAAATTGGAAGTAAAATAAGTTACAAGATAAGTTTACAGAGATATATTGCATATAATTTTTAAAAGGCAGGTTTTTTTTGGTGTTTTTTGGTTTGTTTTTTTTTTTTTTTTTTTTTTTTTTTGTTTTTTTTTTTTTTTTAACGTGAATGTGTCTCTTAGTGAAATTTTACATTCCTTTGTTTTTGGAAGATTGGCAATATTTGAAGAGTTAAAAATAGTACCGAAATGTGAAGTTTGGTAGCTCTAAATGTGTTGTACTTGACTTTCTTTTTTTATTTTCTCTTTTCTGTGTGTGTGACTACTTAGAATTTTCACAACCCTAATAAGATTGTTTCCGAGTTTCTCATGTGCAAGCTTTAACGGATGCACTCTTGCCATTTTATGTACTGGAAGATCATCACTGGTCAGATTAATACTGTGTCTGACAGAAATGTAAACTGTATAAACTGAGGAACCTCAGCTAATCAGTATTACTTTGTAGATCACCATGCCCACCACATTTCAAACTCAAACTGCCTCTAGATGCAAATCCATTGTTTGAGTTTGTTTGCAGTTCCCTCAGCTTGCTGGTAATTGTGGTGTTTTGTTTTTTGTTTTGTTTTGTTTTCAATGCAAATGTGATATAATATTCTTATTTTCTTTGGATCAAAGCTGGACTGAAAATTGTATTGTGTAATTATTTTTGTGTTCTTAATGTTATTTGGTACTCAAAAGTTGTAAATAATGTCTACTGCTGTTTATTCCAGGTTCTACTACCTCAGGTGTCCTATAGTTCTTCTTCTACCAAAGTTCACTTTCACAATGAAATTATATTTGCTGTGTGACTATGATTCCTAAGACTTCCAGGGCTTAAGGGCTAACTTCTATTAGCACCTTACTGTGTAAGCAAATGTTACAAAAAAAAAATCTCTGGGTTAAGAAAATTTGGCTTAAATGTATCCTTTGTTATTTTAAATATATCGAGATATTTTAATTAAAATTTTTACCCCATTGAACCAATTTTATAGTATTTGTACCTATTTTGGTGTTTGTCTTTATAGTAAATAAAAGTTTTTGAACAAAGGTTGATAATTTTATTTATTTTGCCAGCTGCCCAGTTAGGTCCTTTATAGATGAAGGATCCAGACCAAGAATATGTATTCCTTGTAGTCATCAAGTTTCTTCAGTTTCATTCAATTCAGAATCATTCCTTAGTTTTTTCTTTATGTTCATGACCTTAATATTTTTTAAGATTACAGGTTTTTGTTTTATAGAAGTCCTCCATTGGAGTTCGTCTGGTGCTTCCTCATGACTGGATTCAGCGTATGCATTTGTGACAGCAGTATCAGAGAGGTGATGCTATGCTCTTCTTGGTGTGTCTTTTTTTTTTTTTTCCCTTTAAGATTTTATTTATTTGAGAGAGAGTGAGCAAGAGTGGAGGGGAGGGGGAGCCACAGGAAGAGGAAGCAGCAGACTCCCTGCTGAGGGAGCCCAGTGCCAGCTCTTCCTGGTGTGTCTTATCAGGAGGCGCTTCAAAGCCAATTTGTCCCAATGCTGGTGATATTAACAGTGATCATCTGAGTAGGCTTCACCACTGTAAAGTTACCGTTTCCCTTGGTAGTTAATATCCAGCTTAGTATGGATATTAAGTATTTTGTAGAGGTGATACTTTGAGATTACATAGTTTGTTCTTCATTCAACTTTCACTCTCTGCTCTTAACCTTCTTGAATTCTGAATTATTACTCCGATAGATACCAAATGGTGATTTTTCTAGTTCTTACATTCTTTCTGTATTTTGTTAATAGACATTTTGCTATAAGAAGAGCTTTCTCTTCTCCTATTTATTACTCATTTATAAGAATGGTTTTTTGGATTCCTATACAATGAGAGAAAATCAATTAACTGTCATCATGTATTAGCTCAAATAGTCATCCTCAGCCACTGGGTGCCTCTGAAAGCCACCTTCTTCGAACACTTGCATATTTAGAGACTCATCTTGTGTGTTCTCTGTTTCAGCCCTGGGATCAGCCATTTTCCAAAGATTCCTTTGATAGAGACTAGTATTTAAAAACAGGGTGCTAAGGGGCACCTGGGTGGCTCAGTGGGTTGAAGCCTCTGCCTTCGGCTCGGGTCATGATCTCGGGATCCTGGGATCGAGCCCCACATCATGCTCTCTGCTCGGCGGGGAGCCTGCTTCCTCCTCTCTCTCTGCCTGCCTCTGCCTACTTGTGATCTCTCTGTCTATGTCAAGTAAATAAATAAAATATTAAAAAAAAAAAAAACAGGGTGCTAAAAATACTCTTTGCTCTTGGGTGTCACTTTTGTGTCACCTGTCCCAGACTTTTTCTTGTGCACATACAAGAAATATACATACACACACACACAAACCATGAGTTCATACCAATCTAATTTCAGTCTACCACACGAGATTTATTCAAGCCTCCCCTCTTTCTATATTTTTAATCCTTTCCTGGACAGTGAAAAACCTGACTCACATGTACCTCAATATATTGACTTATTTGTTCAAGTCCCCCCCCCCACCAACCCCAACCCCGTGTGTAACCAATCTTCCTAATCCCTGACAGGCTGCCTTCCTACAGGCCCAACCCCTGCTGGACTGCCTTTGTTCCTACTTATCTGTAGGCTTTCATATATATATATGTTCTATATATTTTTTTAAAGCCATCTTACATGTATATATAAAAGTTATATGATACATACTCTACATATAATAGCATATATATTATATATACAGTATACTTTATTTTTTTAGAGTACTTTCAGGTTCACAGCAAAATTTAGCAGAAGATTCAGAGATTCCCCATATGCTTCCTGGCCCCATTGACTCACAGCCTCCCCAACTATCAACATCTAAGGACTTTTTGCCAAGAAGGAAAGCTCTTCCAAAAAAGTTAAGTTTTTTTTTTTTTTAATCTTAAGTGAAAGTTATAACTCTTTTAACACTCAACCTTATGTGGCTTGACATGTTATATACTTTCATATAAATACTATTACTGTTCCTAGGCAGCACAGATTAAACTTAGTTAATTCTTTTTGTATTGTATGGGAATGAAGATTCACTCACCAGAAGTATTTGTCAGGCATACCCTGGAACAGTGATTACGCTCCATTTCACAAATGCAGAAACCAGCCAATTGCAATCATTCTGCAATCAAGCTACACCAGGAACTCCCTTGGCCTGCCCCACAGTTTTAGTCTTAGATTGTACCTTGTGGTTGTGTGCTCATTTCTACTTTCATTCTTCATTTTTCTGCCAGTACTCATCTCTCACAGGATCAAACTTAATCAGAAACAAGATGAATTAGGCCTGCAAAATAGGTGATGTCACGGATTAAGTGGTGGTTCAGACGGCATTTTCTGTATCTACATTTGTTGTAAAGACTCTGTATAATATGAAAAAATGCATTTTTTTTTTTTTTTAAAGAGAGGAAGCGAGGGGGGCAGGGATGAGGCGCAGGCAGGAGAGAGAGATTCTTAAACAGGTTCCATGCCCAGTGTGGGCCCCGACATGGGGCTCAATCTCACAACCCTGAGATCAAAACCTGAGCTGAAGTCAAGAGTCAGACACTTAACCAACTGAGTCACCAGGTACCCCCCTAAATGTGCATCTTTTAAATAGGCTTTAGATATTACTGTTAAACAGTACACTTACGTCATTTCCAGAAAATATTACCTTTGAGAACAGATTTTTGCCTTAGAGAAATTAAAAGAAATGCTATTGTTCTTTGATTCTTTGCCATCTATTTAAATGGCAATAATAATTGTGTAAAAGAGCTGTATATATAGGATAGATAGAATCTAGAAAAACGTTGGGGTATCATGCTTACCCAGAAATGCCAATAAATGCACATGTGAATTAATATAGTAATTCACTTTTTATAAAATGCATGAAATACTGATGCTACTGGGGAAAACAGTGACTAAACAGAAACTTTTGCAATCTGTCACCTTTCTATAATTTTTAGGTTTCTAGGGAACAGCAGTAGGGTCATAAGGAGGGACCTAGAAAGCATGAATACATACATACACTAGGTCAAATCTGGCTCTGCCACTTGCCCTTTGACCTTCTGAACCTTCACTTCTGCCTCTATAGAATGAAAGTGACAGTGTAGAACACTGTCACGGACATTGGATGCACACTGTATGTTTGTATGAATAGGTTACAGATCCAAATACGTATGTGGCTTGAAGTTAGTCCTTAGCAGGGTCTATGGCCAACCTAAGAGTTCATGCCAAAT